CTGGTTTCATTTAAGTGGTTACGTAAACTCACAGAATATGAGAATGTGGTCTTCTGAAAAACCAGATAACTTTTTTGTCGAGGGCCCTCTACACGCTCAAAAAATTGGAGTTTGGTGTGCTCTCAATCGAAGGAGGATTTATGGACCTATTTTTTTTAATGGTACTCTTACTGCGCAAAGGTATAGAGAAGAAATTATCGCTCCTTTTGTTAACCAGCTGGAAGAAAACGAAATTACAAACTTTTACTTTCAACAAGATGGCGCAAGGGCACATACGGCAGGCGAGACGATGAATATGTTGAGGGAAGTTTTCCAAAATCGACTAATAAGTCTCAATGCTGAACATGAATTTCCACCGAGGTCATGTGATATTACGCCGTGTGATTTCTTTTTGTGGCCTTACCTTAAAAACACTATTTTTGAACTGCCTATTCCTGATTTAAACCATCTGCAGGCTCGACTTATAGACAAGATTCGTGAAATTAACAATACCCCGAGCATCTTAGAAAATGTCTTTAATTCTTTGAGGAACAGGTGTGAAAAGTGCTTGGAACAAGGAGGGGGACACTTTCAGCAGCTGCTTTAATTTATTGTTATAACAAGGAGGGGGACACTTTCCGCAGCTCCTTTAATTGTTTGTTATTGTTATCACGATTATTCTTTAAAATAAAGTTATATAGTCATTAACGTTATTGAAACTGACAGCTGCTATACAGCTCGTTGAGAAATGAGGTTAAGTTGGTCGCTATAAGCTACTCCCTACGTCCAATGTGTCAGAGCTAACTTCGACTACGTTTTTATTTGAACGCTCGTTATATTTTATTACATTAAGTTTATAGTCCATCAAGTTATCTTTGAAAGTTTCTAGCTCCATAACAACGCTGCGTTGTTCGTTTGTCTAATAGTGATTACCTTGGCAACATACGTCAAAACTGCATTTAATGTGAATAATTTTATCGCAAAATTGGCACGTTTTAATGAAACCGATCGTACTGAAATTTTAATGATCATAAGATATGGTGAGACAAGACGAGGTTGTGAAGAAATGGTGGCTATTTTTCATCAATTGCATCCCGGTTTCTAAAGCCTGTATCAGACAACGCAATTTAGTTGCAGCGACAAAATCGCGGGATTTTGTTGCGGGGATAAAATTGCATGCTTATTATCACACAATGGGACAGAACTGCTGTAATTTGCTTAGTTTGCAGTAGTGTTACCAACTGTGCATTGTTTAACAAGTAAAATTTTTTGTATGTATCTTGTAAATACATAATAATGTAAATAATTATTTTTTGTTGGAGCAAAACATTGCAATGGATGAAAATTTAAAAGTAAATTGCTGTATGTGGCTTCAACGGTGTTACTCTAACAACCATGATCAACAGCCAACCACAGCTAGGTTGGTAATAAACAAATCTTCATAAAAGTAACTAGAATCCCTGCAATTTTGTTGCACGGAATAGAGCATGTTCTAATTCATGCAATTCAGTTGCCGAGAGACAATTGCATAGTCTGATAAGAAAAATTTCATGAATTCTATCGCGGCAACCAAACCCTGCAACAAAATTATTGCATTGTCTGATACAGGCTTAAATCAACTGTTTCAAAAACATTGCAGCATTTTCATGAAACTGCAGGTGTTACAGATCGACGAAAAGTTGGAAGACCAGTTAAATGAAGAAAATTATTTGAATGTCATGTCAGATGTGGTAGAAAATACAATAAATTCGACACAATAGATGGCTTTAAATTATAACATGTCAATATTCCATTGAAAAAAAAAAATGGAAAAATGCAAATGGGAAAAATTACGTCCATATAAAATTTATTTGTTGCAAGAATTGAGTGAAGACGATGATGATCGTAGAATCGAGTTTTGCGAAATTATTATGGATAAATTAACCACAGAATGTTTGGTGTGGCATTATTGGTAGACACGTCATAAGCCCGAACAATAACAATCCAAATTTACCGGCAGAAGAAATATGTTTCAACATCATGGGACTCCCACACATTTTGGACGTGTGGTACGGGCATATCTAGATTAAACTTTTCCTGATAAATGGATTAGATGCAGAGAGGTAATCGAATGGCCAGCTAGGTCTCCCGATATGATCCCCCTTGACTTTTTCCTATGGGGGTCGCATCAAAACAAAAAAATAATTTTTGACTTTGGCAATCAATTACTCGGGAAATAATGGTCGTACAAAAAATCCATGCAGGGTTTTGGAAACTGCAAAGTATTCTTTACAAGTCCTAATTATGGGTTTTTGAGAAAAAAACATTTTTGAAAGTGAAAATGTTGGTTAGAAAAAAGGTAAAAAATTGCATAATTAGGGATATTTGCATAACTTGGCATAATTTTGCAAATAATGAATAAACTAAGGATTATTTCCCGAGTAATTGATTGCCAAAGTCAAAAATGTTTTTTTGCTTTGATCGACGATAACTCAGCGACAAATAATCGTACAAGGGTCCGGAACCGCTCAAATTGAAGAGAATTAAATTATCTAAAAGAGCTTTATGATAAAATTACTAAACAAATTTTTTTGAAGTGCATAGGCCTTTTCATTCAAAAGAAACAAAAATCTGATATTGACGAGACTCGCGATTCACGAGACTTTGCAACGGGCTACAAATGTGAAAAACTTACTGACCCTTTCAGGTTTTTCAATTTGTTTTAATGGTAACCAATTGCTGAAACGGCTAAATATCCGACAAAGAACTTCCACGCAATTTTTCTGCAGAATTGGGCATGAACCATCGATCCATTTAAAATTACCTAATTTAATGCACACCGTGAAGCAACATATTGTTATCACCTGTCGTTCCGCCTTATTTTGTATGTGCACTGCAAATATATGTGGGCGAGTTTCAACAATGAAAACAGCGTCAACGCATGTTGCCAAATCTGCGTAAATAATACGGTGAACATCGGATAAATCAAGAATCAAGTACCACGTTTTTAGGTTAAAACTTTGCACCGATTCCCTCAAGGTCATGAGCAGTATAAAATTTGAACACGTTTTGAAAAAAAAAACAGTTCCAATTACATCTTTTTTTCTGGGGTGGGCCGTGCCCACACTTGCCCCCACCCCCAGCTACGCCCATGCTCAAGGTTATAGTATCAAGGGGTTAAAATTGCTAGAGTCCATTCCAATTCATGTCAAAACGCGAAATATAAATTTAAGTCTGGAATAAAGTGTGCCAATGATTTTTGATGCCACTTTTTATTTGAAGATTGCCATAAAGATAGTTGGTAAATCTAACTGACCGGTACTTTATTTCGCTTTAACATGCAGGCAATAATTAACTTTTAAAATTATTATAAAATGCTGTATTACAATACTGCATGGTCTAGCGACGCGCTGGCATCAGTTTTACACGCGAATTATTGTAATATGGTGGAATTTGTATTGTAGTTTTCCGTTTCCTTGTCACGGTCAGTTACGGCTGGTCTGTAACTGTACAGGGTGAGCTTAATTCGATGTGATTTAGTATTTGTTGGGGAATCACATAATATTATATTCAACATCGGAAAACGGTTTAGGTATTAAAAAATCAGCGAGTTTCGAATGTTTATCCGTATACACAGAGTATTTAAATGAATAGGCAAGAACGCTACCAAATCGTTTAGTTTAATTGACTGTATAATGCAACAATTTTTTTTATGGATTTTTGGCCGGTAGTTTTGGTCAAAATCCCAAATAATCTATTTTTGCAAAGAGTGCTTTGTAAACAAATATTAAACGAAATTTTGACAGTTAAGTTAAATTTTCATTGACGTCAAAATTCAAATATTTAAGCACGTAAAACCACAATTTTTACATGAATCGAAGCCAAATTAATTAGTCGATACGATAAGGTTGACGCAATCTTGCCGTTCTTCGTGCGAAAATTGCGTTTTTAATTATTATCTAAACACAGCCAATGAAAATTTAACTAATTGTAAAACTAAACTGTCAAACCGCCGTTCGTAGTAATAGTTTAACGTTTTGTTGTCAAAGCACCTCTTTGTAAAAATGAATAATCTGATATTTCGACAAAAACAAAGAAATAAACCATATTACATGGCGACTACATACAAAAAATATAGACATTTAATTTTCTTTAGCATTTTTTCTAATAGATTGTGTTTGAATGTCGCGAAAGTTACTTTTTGGAATATTCTCAGACAACGAAAGTTTCCGTTTGATGTCTGCCTGACTGGACGGGACAAAACAAAGTAATTGCCTAGTTTTGTTGGGTTTCCAAAGGTAGGGCGCCCTAATAAAGAAGGATTAGCCCATCCAAGTGACAAGTCAAATTAAGGTACTCCGACAAATGGATCGGGACTTGTGTTCCTTTAGATTAGCAGAAGACTGACTACCTGAGAATGAGAAATGACGTTTTCAGTCCTGCAATGTACATTGCAGTGACGAGACTAATAAAAAAAATCGAATTGTCAACTATCGCGTGAGGTAACGATTTTTTAAAAATTATCTTTACTTTTAAGTGATTTTTACACAGGATTGATTTGTTTTAACAAATTAAACATAAATCAGCCCCTTACTGTTATTTACTAGTAAATAATATTTATTTAGCAGAGAAATTTCAATAATTGCAACACGATTTCAAACTTTAAAACTCTCTTTGAATACCCATTAACCAAAAACAAGTGAAATCAAGCGTTGAGAAGTACGAAACATAAATTAAAAAATACGATGAGTCAGCAACAGCAATAAAAAGTCAGTTTTGCAGAAGGCTTTCCGAGCATTACAAACTTTAATTGCTAAACCATAATAATAATGCTTGTTTAATGCATAATAAATTATGTAAACAATTATTAAAAAATTGCCAGCAAAGAGCCACATGTTGAAACGTTCACTAATTTAAGAACTCAAGCGAATGCAGGAAGAAAGTAATAAAAATAACGGCACCGTTAATTAAAAAAAAATACATAAAAAATATTAACACGTTCATCGAAAAGTAATAAAAACTCTGGCTGTAACTTAACTTACTTTAAATTCTAGCAGAAAGCACTGGGATTTCACAAACACAAATGAAAACAACACATTTCAGTACCTTACGCGACGATTTTTAGTTACAACATTCGAAGAAGCATCGGCGAAGAAGTTTTAAAACTTCTAAACAAAACTCGCACACCTCACGCGCACTCCCAACAAGACTGAAATTGTAAACAGAAAAAATTAAAGTGAAGCTCACTAAATAACGTCCTGTCAGTCTTTTGTTTCGTTTTGGTTTATTGCACTCTAGATGTTCCATCCTTCTCTGTAAATAAAGTTGCATGTACTCAGGAAATTTGTCGGTAGTACTTTCACTTTACGCCGGTAGATGGGACAACTTATGATTAAGAAATTGTTTCAATTTAAACGAAATGTATTCATTAATTGATTAAAATATGCATTTTATTGATATACTTTACTGAATGCAGTTATTTTTTAGACAACGTGAGCGTATTTAAACATTTTCATTGGTTTTAAAACAGCAGTTATTTTTTTCGTACAATGTTGGCATCCCTGCTACGTTGACAGTTGGTGTAACTGCTAAGTTTCACAACTAGGTTATGTTGCGGAAAAGATAGTTGCTGTTTATTTTTTAAATTAAAATATTTACGTTTAGGAACATGGGGAGAAGATACTACTGCGACTACTGCGACAAAAAGTTTATCGACGACATAGAGCACAGGAAGAAGCATTTGCAGAGCAGCTACCATATTAAATTGCGAAATTTGCATTACGAATACTGCAAAGGTAACGTTAACTTCAGTAAATCTATTTTTTTTTAATGTAGGCTTGTTTTTTTTAGATCCGGAAACGCTTTTAAGGGAAGAACTGTTAAAGACGCCATGTAGAAGATTCTCGCAGTACGGAAGCTGTCAGTTTGAACGCAGTTGTAAATACACGCATTATTCTCCCGAGGAGCTTTGCGAACTGAGGCAGCAAGGTAATAAAACTGTACATTTGACTTATTCGGCCAAGAAATTTGTACAGTGCACAAACTTTCTTCGCTTTTAATTTTCAGTCGAACGAATCCAAATTATGAGGAGAAAGAAGCTGGAGGAAGTGCCGAATGTACCCAGCGTCGAGTCGTGGATGCAGAAGTACAATAAGAGTAACAACAAAGAAGACGACGAGGTCGTACACACCTTTTGGACGTACCCGGAAAGTTTCGAACGGAGGCTGGATTTACCTCCGTCGCTGGTTCGCTTTAAACCCGAGCACTTCAGCGACGACAATTTCGAGGAATGGGGGAAATAGTCGTGTCGTGAAACTCGTTTTGTTGTAAATAAAATGTGAGAATCGACTTACCTGTTCGCTTTATTCGACTTACAAGCTCGGCATTTTTTTTGGGAAGCGGGTGAAGGAGGCGGGATTTCTATAAAAAGGTTAAAAAAATTGTGGATTTCATAGTATTAATATATTGCTTAAATTAAAAATCGTATTTATACAGCACTTGTAAAGAAAATAATTCTTTATACTAATATTTTGGCAAACGTATGTGAGGGACAACGCAAATTTACAAACAATAAAATCTACTGGGTGTTGAAACGGTCCGCTACAACATCTTTTATAATAAAAAAATATGTGTGAAAATTTAAATAAAGCCGCCTTTAGACGCTGGTGATAACTGGAAGATGTTACAGCGGAGAGCTTCCGACGGGAGACTAGAACCATTAAAACGGAACGTTCCATAAATACAGGCGCGTAATACGGAAATGCCTTAAAATTAACATGGCTACTTCTGCACACAAAGCAACAAATCTAATTTTTCAATTACGATTCTGGGAACTACTTGGGTGTATATGTCAACAAAGTGCATTTACATTTCACATTACTTAAAAGATATTATACAGGCCATTTCCTTAGGGAAGAGCGAAAGCCGTCGTTTCACTACTCCTCCTACGAAACGCTCTCCCGTTGTGTAGCTTCAAAAGCGTTACGAGGTTGTCGAAGCGGGCCCTAAACGTGTTTCTAAACAAGTGTGTTCCGGAAGGTTTGAAGGGACTTTGTAACAATTCACAGGTACTTAACGGATCGATTTTATAAATATATCTTCTTAGTATATTGCGTATTTTTTTTTAAGTCCTAGTTTGTACGGGGTGTAACTTAAGTGCTTGCTCAAACCTTAACGACGGATTCCGTCACAAATTAACAAATAATTATAAGAGTGTGTCCAGGAATGATTTTTTTCGATATACAGTTGAGTCCGTATATTTTCCGAAAGCGTTTGGTGCTTTTCGTAACACTGCGTCAAGGAGTGACCGCAAAAATCGCCCGTTTTTTCACAATTCGCAGAGAACTAATAGACTAGGCGGTATATGTTTTGGTTCGGGTGAGTCGTATATCGGCGGAGATTTTTGGCATTTTGGCTTTCAAATATCACTAGAAATGAAAATATGACATTTTTCAAATTTTTTTAATATATTGTGTCGCCAAAAGTTAAGCCCACGTTTTTTTTTATGCGCATAGAAAAATTTTCAATTCTAGTGATATTTGAAAGCCAAAATGCCAAAAATCTCCGTGGATATACGTTTCACCCAAACCAAAACAGATATCGCCTAGTCTATTGTGTTATAAGGATCTTAACAACGATAATCGTGAATAATCAAGAATTATTATCGGTAGCTAGGTCAAGTTCAGTGTGGTTATTTGCACGTCCCGCTTGCTCTCGTCGTTAATTTCAACGTTTTATTTCAAAATTCTTTATGTACGGCGTGCGAATATGATTTAAACATAAATTTGTCGTTTGTATGCGAACCATTACACCCAAATCGTGGATATATGATTCACCCAAATATGGACTCTTTGAAACAGATACCGTCTGGACTATAAAGAAAATAGATAAAAATATGTTTTTGATCTCAAATTACCCGTCGTAAAAAATTAAGATGAGCATAGCTTTTAGTTTTTTGAAAATTTGCAAAAATCACCCCTATTTAGGGGCTGAAAAGACGCCCAAAATGAAGAATTAATTGAATATTACCAATAAATATAAAAACTATTAGCATGTGAATTTTTCTATCGAATGATTCTTGATACAAAGAATGGCTGAAATAAGTCCATGTTGAAATGTTGAAAATCCACCCTTAAGCGCGCTCAGGGGGTGGAATCATCCCCAAAATAAAAAATATCAGAAATAATTGTAAAAATTCCAAAAAAGATTCATTTTTGGCATTTTTTCGACCCCTAAGTAGGGGCGATTTTTAAAATTTTCAAAATACTGAAAGCTCATGCTCATTTCAGTTTTTTACGACAAGTAATTTGCGACCAAAGACATATTTTCATGTATTTTTTTTAATTCTCTGCGAGTTGTGAAAAAACGGGCGAAAATCAGGTATTTTGCGGTCACTCTTTGAAGAAAAAAAAATTTTACACGTTCCTTAACCTGCGTCACGTGTAAACGTTTGTGGACAGCCAAAGATTAAAGCCATACGCCAAATTTGAAAGAAATCGCTTCTGCCGTTTTTGTATTATTAAAAATACTGATTTTTTTTTCCTCAAACTTTCGTATATCACGAAAATGAAGTGCTTCTGGACACCTCTAGACAATTTTTATCGACTTATATTGTAGATTCCGCCATTAAAGTTTTTTAATTACTCCGTTTATACAGGGTGTCGGGAAACTAGACGGGCATAGTTTAAAGTTAACTCGTGCGGATGAAACGCTAGTTTTCTTAAAAATATACAGTCACTAAAGGGGATTTTTAAAAAAAATTATTCTTTTACAATAACCGACATTTTTTGGTATATTTTAATGAAATTTGGAGGTTTTTGGGGGGGTAGCTGGAGAACGTACGTTTATTATTTTACCTAAAACGCAAAGATGACTGAGAACATCAAACACAGTCTCCTGTTTTCCCCCCTTTTTTTTCATCGTCACAGTCATTAGCACTTACGAAAAGTCGAGGGTTTTTTTATTGCTGAATTTCTAGCTGTATTATTTTTTTTGCATTTCAAACAAGCTCCACAAAACGACGTTTAGAAGCTTATATCTCAGTAGGCGTAGACTTTGGAACTGAGGCAACTTGATCTAAAAGGAGTAGTTGTTTCTCGCAACACTGACACTTATATCTCAGTAGGCGTAGACTTTGGAACTGAGGCAACTTGATCTATAAGGAGTAGTTGTTTCTCGCAACACTGACACTTATATCTCAGTAGGCGTAGACTTTGGAACTGAGGCAACTTGATCTAAAAGGAGTAGTTGTTTCTCGCAACACTGACACTTATATCTCAGTAGGCGTAGACTTTGGAACTGAGGCAACTTGATCTAAAAGGAGTAGTTGTTTCTCGCAACACTGACACTTATATCTCAGTAGACGTAGACTTTGGAACTTGATCTAAAAGGTTTCACAAAGGTACGCGTTTAACAAAAGAGTGGCGTTTAATTAGATTGGAATCGCCAAATATTCAGCTTTGTAACTCCAGTTTTCCCTTTTTATGATAAATAAAACGATATTTCATAAGAATTAAGCGATTTCTCAAAAAATGTGGCGTAAAACAAAGGACGGTTTGTTATTCTTGGCGCCCTCTGTTTCCGAAACGAAATGTTCAATCGAGTACCACAAAAATTCCCCTTTACCAAATTTAATTCAAATACCTCAAAAAGTGTTCGAAGGGTCGTCAATTTCCAAACACCCTGTAGGCGATTCGGAGAAAGCGATGGTTAAATTATAATTATAGAATTTTTAATTTGATTTCACCCTTTGTATTTTGATTATGGCAATTTTAATGCGGTGACAAACAAAACAATAAAATAAGCGAAAATCGATATTCGAACGGGAAAATTCTAAACAGTCTCACCCGTACGGTAATAATTTCTACTAAAAGTAGCTTTTAAAGAACTTACATGTTTTATTTTCACTGGGGCGGTAGATTTCACCCAGAACGACACAACATTCTGCACAGCAACTGCAGAATGTCAAAATGGCGACATTCAATTGTTTCGCACCGAATTCCATGGTTTACTTTGCAAAATTGTTTTAATAAAATACGTTCCATTGTCCCAGAACTAATTAGTGACCGAATTCCGTTTTATTCTTCCATTAATATCATTCGAATACGTTATTTTATTTTTTTTAATAATCATTATTCTGTTCCGCCGTTTACGTGCAAGTTCAAACGAAAACATGCTCTGATATTAGACCTTATTGCGTGTAATTCCTTTTATTGCAAAATCGATAAAAATCCGTCGGGTTAAATGCGCCACGGCTAAAAATTATATTCCTACAGCAGTTTCTCTCGGTAGCCACTAAACCAAAACCCTGTATATCGATAAATAGGTACCTAGAGAGTAAAATGGCCCGTGGTAAAATTGTTTGTATCGTAAATGTGGTAATTACTGGTCTTTTGGACATTATTAGTGAAAATTGAATACTCAGAGTTGAATTTTTCGCAAATGGGGATAATTGACATTTTTGAATGTAAAATGTCTGTTATCGTACTGAATTTTTCAATTTTTTTATTATTCAAAGTATTTTTTTTATTACGACGATGCATCATACGATACGGTTTCTTCCTTTGCTTTTGCCAAAATATCAAATTATTCGTTTTCAGAAAGGGTGCTTTGGAAACGAAACATCCGACTAACTTCGAACGAAACTTTGACAGTTCTGTTAATTTAACAATGTTCAAGTTCGGATGAATAAAAATGCAACTTTCGCATGAAACGAAGCCAGATATTCTCCAAATTAAATAAATCAATAAGTTCGAAACGCGTCTCGCTATAACGCATGTGAAATTTGCATTTTTAATTATCCGCACTTTGACACTGTCAATGAACTGTCAAAATTTTGTTTGAAGTAGCAGTCGGATGTTTTGTTTTCAAAGCACCCTTTGTAAAAATGCAAACAAAGGCCCTGTATTTCAAAAACAAAGAGGTTAATCATTGGAAATTCTTTCGAAAACATGTCGGAGGAGCACCGATCTGCCTTTTCAACTCTAAGTACCACAATTCCACAAGGTAGGTGGGTAAAAATGAAGTAAAGCTTACAATGTATTAAGATAGGTATATGAAAGGATCACAAGTGTGTTCTCAACACGGAATAATGAGTATCTTTTCTTGGATATATGTTTAAAGAGGCGGCCACTTATTTGGCGGCGGGCTCGGCCTCGTCGTGCTCCTTGCGCACCAGGTGGCCCCTGAAGGAGGCCTGGATCTTCACCGCCGCCTTGTTGAGGTCTGGGTCCGATAGGTCTACGTCCAGATCCTCGTCGGCGTCGTCTTTCTGCAATAACAACGTTCTCTATGAAAAAAATTCGTTAAATAAAAAATGAAATGTAACAACAAGCGTAAACTCCGTATTTATTTGTTTTATGAAATAAATTTTTTTACAGGCAGATGTCGGAGGCGTTTTTTTGTGCAATGTGCACGTGCGGCAAAAATTTTAAACGCGGATCGGTTCGGCATGGAAAAAATTTCCAAATGACACGATATAGGAATGAAGGCCAACAATGACCGCGTACAGTTCGTCACGGAACACCCTGTAGATAGCATAAAATGTAGGTTTATCCTCAACTTGACTGGGTATTTGCCCAAAAGTGTAAAATTAACGTTCCTAATCATTAGCGCTGTGACTGACGGCTGTTCTTTTATCGGGTGGACGGGAGGGAATGGAATTAAATCGTAAATAACGTTTCTATTGAGCGGTGTGCACGCAAGGCTGCACAAAGCGAGCCATAAAAATGATTAGGTCGTAAATAATTATCGCGATGTCGATTTCAGGGNAATGAAGTAAAGCTTACAATGTATTAAGATAGGTATATGAAAGGATCACAAGTGTGTTCTCAACACGGAATAATGAGTATCTTTTCTTGGATATAGGTTTAAAGAGGCTTCCGCTTATTTGGCGGCGGGCTCGGCCTCGTCGTGCTCCTTGCGCACCAGGTGGCCCCTGAAGGAGGCCTGGATCTTCACCGCCGCCTTGTTGAGGTCTGGGTCCGATAGGTCTACGTCCAGATCCTCGTCGGCGTCGTCTTTCTGCAATAACAACGTTCTCTATGAAAAAAATTCGTTAAATAAAAAATGAAATGTAACAACAAGCGTAAACTCCGTATTTATTTGTTTTATGAAATAAATTTTTTTACAGGCAGATGTCGGAGGCGTTTTTTTGTGCAATGTGCACGTGCGGCAAAAATTTTAAACGCGGATCGGTTCGGCATGGAAAAAATTTCCAAATGACACGATATAGGAATGAAGGCCAACAATGACCGCGTACAGTTCGTCACGGAACACCCTGTAGATAGCATAAAATGTAGGTTTATCCTCAACTTGACTGGGTATTTGCCCAAAAGTGTAAAATTAACGTTCCTAATCATTAGCGCTGTGACTGACGGCTGTTCTTTTATCGGGTGGACGGGAGGGAATGGAATTAAATCGTAAATAACGTTTCTATTGAGCGGTGTGCACGCAAGGCTGCACAAAGCGAGCCATAAAAATGATTAGGTCGTAAATAATTATCGCGATGTCGATTTCAGGGATACGCTGTCGGATTTAAATTCGAATTTGCCCGTTCCAACAAAACCAGTACTCTGTAATCGTATGTAATGCCTTTAAAGGCAGATTGTTATTGTTTAATTGCATTTTCAGCAGGGTTATAGGACTTATAGGTGCATAAACAAAAATTATTTACCTCTTTTTTCTCTTCATGTTTTTTCGCTTCCGATTCGTGCTTCCTCGTCATGTGACCCCTGAAAGAAGCCTGGATTTTGGTAGCAGCTTGGCAAAGTTCTGAAAATAGACACATATTTAATTAATGCGATTGAATATGTAGCGATAAAATTATTACAAGTAATTCAATTGTTATCACTAAGAGGAGTCCAGGCGGTAGAGCATTCAAGGCATTTGTATTTGAAGTCATCTATTTTGTTGTTCAGAAAATTCCAAATATTATGTAGAATAAGAATCCGAGTTTGTTTATTCTAAAATACCATTGCTAGATTCAGGGGAACAATAAACATGAAAAGGAAAGAACGAAAAATGACCCGTTTTTCGACATATTTTTCCCTGTAACATTGAAAGTAAGCCCTACATAAAAAAGTAATTTTTTATTTTTTGTTTATTTGACGAAAAGTTGAATTTTGCATCAACAACAGGCGAAAAATAATGGAAAATCATATGTAACGAGCGTTCAAATAAAAACGTGGTCAAGTTGGTTCTGAAAATTTGGACGTAGGGCGTAGCGTATAGCAAATGAACTTAAACGTCATCTGTCAAAGCGCTATATCGCCGCTATCAATTTGAATATTTTCGTTTTAAAAAGCGTTTAAAATGGTGTTTTCTCAAGAACAAAAAGTGTTTATCATAGAGTCCTACTTTAGAAATGGACGCAAGATTGATGGAATATGGAAGTATTCTATTGAGGAATGTTTCATAGAATTTCAAAATCAATTTCCCGGCGTTGTTGAGTACAAAATTTTTCAAAGTGCAGTTCAGCGTTGTGTTAATGTTTTTCGTGAAACGGGCAGTGTAACAAGAAAAGAAGGAAGCGGCCGACCTAAAAAGCGGACTGAAGAATTAAAAGAAAATGTCCAACAAATAATGGAAAATGCGCCAAGAACTTCTGTACGTGTTTTATCACAAATGGTGGGAGTATCAGTCGGTACCTGCCACACAGTGTTAAAAAAAGATTTGCGTTTGTTCTCCTATCGTTTAACTTGTCAGCAAGAACTTCATGAAGTTGATTTTCCGCGACGGGCTGTATTTTGTGAATGGTTTTTAAACAACTACGGTGAACTTCATAATATCACCTTTTTTTCTGATGAAGCCTGGTTTCATTTAAGTGGTTACGTAAACTCACAGAATATGAGAATGTGGTCTTCTGAAAAACCAGATAACTTTTTTGTCGAGGGCCCTCTACACGCTCAAAAAATTGGAGTTTGGTGTGCTCTCAATCGAAGGAGGATTTATGGACCTATTTTTTTTAATGGTACTCTTACTGCGCAAAGGTATAGAGAAGAAATTATCGCTCCTTTTGTTAACCAGCTGGAAGAAAACGAAATTACAAACTTTTACTTTCAACAAGATGGCGCAAGGGCACATACGGCAGGCGAGACGATGAATATGTTGAGGGAAGTTTTCCAAAATCGACTAATAAGTCTCAATGCTGAACATGAATTTCCACCGAGGTCATGTGATATTACGCCGTGTGATTTCTTTTTGTGGCCTTACCTTAAAAACACTATTTTTGAACTGCCTATTCCTGATTTAAACCATCTGCAGGCTCGACTTATAGACAAGATTCGTGAAATTAACAATACCCCGAGCATCTTAGAAAATGTCTTTAATTCTTTGAGGAACAGGTGTGAAAAGTGCTTGGAACAAGGAGGGGGACACTTTCAGCAGCTGCTTTAATTTATTGTTATAACAAGGAGGGGGACACTTTCCGCAGCTCCTTTAATTGTTTGTTATTGTTATCACGATTATTCTTTAAAATAAAGTTATATAGTCATTAACGTTATTGAAACTGACAGCTGCTATACAGCTCGTTGAGAAATGAGGTTAAGTTGGTCGCTATAAGCTACTCCCTACGTCCAATGTGTCAGAACCAACTTCGACCACGTTTTTATTTGAACGCTCGTTATATTTGAAGCAATTTTTAAAATAAGTAAATATTTATAAGTATTGATGAAACTTTGTGAACGAATAGTAAAACATATGTCAATTTTACCTTAAAAATTTTGTAACGATCGATAGCGTGGTTTTCGATTGACAGGATTGTTAATTAAGAAAATTTCAAAAAGTTTATCGCGTACCGTGGGTTTAAATTAAAGTTTAGAAAGGCCACACAATTTTTTAGGGATACTTGTTGTCATAATAAACAATGATCAATACTAAAAATACCTATTTTTACACTTTTATAACCATTTAGATTTTTTTTTAATTTTCAATATTTTACTCTATAAACAATTATTTATTACCCAGGGATTTTTTTTTGTTTTACTATTTGTTCACAAAGTTTCATGGATATTTATAAATATTTACCTATTTTAAAAATTGCTCCAAATATACATATAATTTTCTACTATTTTTTGCCCATTGTTAATACAAAATTCACTTCTTTGATTCGCAGTTGTTGTAACTTTATAGAATATCCTCAAATAAACAAAAAATAAAGAATGACTTTTTGATTTAGGGCTTACTTTCAATGTTAGAGGGAAAAATATGTCGAAAAACGGGCCATTTTTCGTTCTCTTTGTATGTTTGTTGTTCCCCTGAATTTAGAATGGTTTTTTGGAATAGGCAAACTCAGATTCTTATTCTACATAATATTTGGGATTTTTCTGTACAACAAACTAGACGACTTCAAAGACAAACGTCAAAGCCTACTTTTACTGCTCTATCGCCTGGACTATAACACAGGGTTAAACTTTAAATGGGGGTCAGTTTTTTTAGGGATAATAGTATGTGTTCCTCGGAAAACTAAATTGAATTTTTTTTTTTAAATCAAAAAATGGTCGAGTTATAGTTCGATGTTCGATTATTGTCTACGCCGCTTACGGACAGCTCGCGAACTCTTTTCCTTTGACGAAGACTAACATTAGCAGATATTTTCATTGTTAATTCTCTGCTAAGTTACAATTTTCATTGCGTAAACACAAATTTAAAAAAATTAACCAAGCTATACGCATTATTTTTTTATATTGGCCACAACGTATCTATACACTGCTCACAAACAACTTTGTCACTTGAGGTAATGCCATCTCCTGTTTACTTAAATACAATACGAATGTCCCTTAATGCTACAAGAATACCAATTAAGGTCCATCACTCCCGGCTTTCCTTCGGGAGATTGATGATTGTAACAGGCTGACGAGGGTCTGTGTATCAGGTAATAACATGAAAATAAATCAACTGTTTATCCGTCTGTCTGTCTTGAACGGTCATAAGAATCTTAGGAATAGTTTCGGAAAAAAATATCACTAACCAGCCTTAAAAGTTTGTCGAAAGTCGAACCTGGAAAATTTTTTTATCATGCAGAATATTTATATTCTGCATTCTTCATTAAGTGGCGACCACCGCTACAAAGCTCCAGCCCAGTCATTCTCATTTTGCGCCGCCGAAATCTCAAATTTATGCTCCTTCCGTGGAGAAAAACAGCTCGAACTACGCTCTATTTCCCAGTAGAAGGCCTAGCGTTTCGAGGAAATTACCAGCGAGATTATACGACTTTCTCTGGCCCATAAATTTAAATTCTGTTATATTACACGAGGCGATCTTTTGGGATACGGCAAAAACACAATAGAATAAAAAGTCTGTGTATAGATAAGACTCCTAAGAAACGGACATGTTATTCCCTTGACTAATCTGCCTGTAAAGAATTGTTGACGTGTTCTAACAAATCTTCTACGTTTAGTACTACCATGTTGATTAATAACTGTCAATGTCAAGTGCCACTGACGATTTCAACGATGTTTCCAATCGTCAAAACTCATTACTATAGCCAATAAAACTGTCCGGTATTAAGACATACCGAAACGGGATAGAGTATGCTAAAATCATTAGGCGTTTCTTTGAATCCGCCAAGATCTAAGCCAGTTAAACCCTTACAAACGATAACAAACGACCCGGTTTCCATCCATCACAGCGAAATGCACCCTCGCCACCGTCACAAGTCGCTTTTGTGCCATTGTTGTGTGCCCCACTATCTTAAGTCAGCGTTTGAGTAATTCTCACTTCGGGGATGTAAATCAAGTCGGGACAATTTCTCAAACGTCGCGTTTCGTAGTCTAGTTCTCCCAGATCCTTTAGCCTTCTTAAGGAAACTACATTCTAGCAACAAACTCTAAAACTATACGTATTTTGTTGCACCATATTCGATATTTTATACGAGACTTGCACATCGATCTAGCTCTCGCGAGTAAGGAAACCGTCTCGTCGGCATTAATTTTAGGCGCGAGAGCGATGCATTTGGGAAGCGAATGCAATTTGGATGGCAATTTAAACTCCCCATTTACACATACGTGCAAGACGAGCAACTTCTGGAATAGATTCGAGCTCCAGAATTGTGTGCGCTCGCTTCAATAATTCCGTTTGAACTAGATAATGTAATTCAGCCAGACTGGGTTCGACAAAAGGCGGGGGATAAAGCAAAGCGTCAGATCCAGGGTCTACTTCCTTGTCTATTTTCGAATGCACAGGTTGAAGATTGCAATAATCACTCTTTTAACATCTCATATAACGATGTTTTTTAGTCCGAAGGGCATTCTGAGAAACTAGTAATGTCCTTTGTCTGTAGAACGTTGTGGTTCTTTAGGATCCATTTATATCCCCAGTGGACGAACTTTATTTTCGAAATATCCGTCCATCCAACACCAATAACAGATTATGATAACGATAGCCTTGTCGTGTATTACTTTGAACAAACACAGGCATCTACAAGGGCCTTTACTGCGGCTCTCTACCATGCTGTTTATAAGCTCATTAACATGCATCTACGAGTAACTATTCGCTTCTTCTTGGATGTATGTACGTGCTCGTTCGGGGCTTAGCTGAGAGTTTAGGGTTTCTCTCAACCGCACATACATGTAAGTAAATAGTTTATCGCAGAAGCGTTTGGATTAACTGTCCTTGAACAAGTTAACCCGATTTAATCATCTGTTAGTTTCTAAGTTAACCCCTAACTGGGCAGAAAGAAGGAAGGAGTATCTCAACTTCTACAGGTCGACGAATTTCTGTGGATTTGTTATTTTCATGGAGGTGTTTTTCTTTTAAGTACCCAGGATTGTAAA